GTGTGTGTGTATATATATATATATATATATATATATATATTCTTGTATAAGGCTAAAACAGAAAAACAAATGAATAATTTTATGGTGCGATTGATAAAATTAGTGTACAAGTTTGTTAAAGCTTACAAGCTATATTCTAAATTGAAAAATTGAAACATTTTAATCTGATCGATTGAATTAAAAATATTTAAAAGGAATAATAAATTAGTTGCTAAATATAAAATAATATTTAATTATTTGGAATATTTTTTAAATAAATTAGTGAGAATAAAATTTAAAATAAGAAATTAGCAACTTAAAAATTAGCTTATTTACAAAATTTTGTTAAAGTAATTTATAAAATAAATTATAAGCTATTAAAATAAGTTCGTGCAAATCATTAAATACGGTCAACTATGTCAAGTGATGTTGAGTTTGGGTACATTTAGAGAGTTTTGGATATAATTTCACATCGCATGTAGTCAAATTATAAAACTTAAAAAGTTTACTAAAAATTAAAATATATTATAAGATAATTGATATTAATATAAATATAATATTATGTGAAAATATTATTTATTAATTTAAAAAATTACATTATTAATATATAATTATTTAAAAATTATTAAATTTATGATATTGGAGCGAGTTGAGATAATCTAAAGAATAATCTGAATTTGTTTCATCATGTTGATTGTGTTAATTCAAACTTGTCAAAAATCCATTTAGATTAAGTTGAATTAACTGGGTGAACAGGTTCATAAACACCCTCAATCCTTCCACAAGACTTGCTCTCTAATTATTTATTTTTGGTATATCATTCTCTTTTTTTTTTGGTATACCTGGTTGAATTATTTTACTTTTATTAATATTTTTTACCAGTTTCCTTTTATTAATATTAAGATAAAAGATACAATAAAGAATGTTCCCAAAAAAAAAAATACAACAATGAACTCTATTTTAATTATTTTTTTTATGGGTAATGATGAAGTCCATTTAAGAAAAAACGATTTGTTTATTTATATAAATGATGCATGAATAAATAGCATTAAATACTCTATTTATATTCACAATGAGGAAAAGCTCATAAGAAAAGAAACAGAAATATTTAGGCAGCATTAGGAACAGGAACGTTTGTTGAGTGAGTGAGCATGGCCACGACTTCGGCGTCGTCGGAGGAACTGACGCTGAAAGTGAAATGGAGCGGCAACGAGTACACCGTCCGCGTCTGCGGCGACGACACGGTGGGCGAACTCAAGCGCCGAATCTGCCAACTCACCAACGTCTTACCCCTTCGCCAGAAGCTTCTTTACCCTAAACTGGCTTCCAAACTCAACGACGACTCCCTCTTCCTCTCTCAGCTCCCTCTCAACTCCTCTCTCAAAATGACCATGATCGGGTGGGTCCTCGCCTTTTTCATTTCTAGGGTTTCGTTTCGTTTCGCTTTGTCGCTGATTTTGTTCATGCAGGACCACGGAAGAGGACTTGCTGGTGGATCCGGTGGACTCCCCCGAGATCCTCGACGATTTGGAGCTTCCTAAGGACGAAGCTGTTGACATCAAGGATATGGAAGTCAATAAGCTCAAATTGACCAGACGGATCCATCAAATCAAGGTTCCTTTCTTCTTTTCTTTCTTTCATCCATTTATTCTTATCTTATGCTTACCTGCGTCCGTTCCTGCAGATTGAGCTTCGAAATCCGTGTCGCCAAGGGAAGAAACTGCTTGTGCTGGATATTGATTACACTCTCTTCGATCACCGCTCCACCGCCGAGAATCCTCTTCAACTCATGAGACCTTGTAATTTCCTTCTCTCTTGTTTCCACTAGAATTACATAATTGCCATTTGTGGTCACTCACTTTGTAATTTCAGAGACTAAAATGATTGTTACATTTTTTCTGATGTTAGGGACTAAATTAATCGGAGTTCATGATTTCAGGGACTAATTTGATGAATAAGTCGTGTGAAAGATTATTTTTGATTGGTTGATAGGATAGAGTGTTTCACACTTGGTGCATGACAATTAAGAGTGATTATATATAGTCATTTTGGTTCCTGAAAGTCGTGGGCGCTGATATATTAGTTCGCGAAACTAAGAAAATATTAAATAAATCCGAATGTCAAATAAGTTTCTTAACCTAACTACTTAGTATTATTTTAGTCTCTGGATATATATATATATATATATATATATATATATGTATGTATGTATGTATATATCATATATATATATATATCAATATTATCATTTTAGTCATATGATTTTTTTGAATTTTGGACTATTTTGATTTTCAATATGCACTCGGACTTGTTTGATTGTCAATTTGCACTTTAAGGAATGTATTTGAATTTTTCTTAGTTTTAGTTCATGTTTACTCTGCTTCTTGTCTTATTTCTTTCTTATTTTTTATCACATTACTATTTCTATTACTTTCAATCCCTGTTTTTTTTTTATTCTCTTTCTATCTCTCACCTTTCATCCCAAAATGGGGGTGGACATTTATATTTTTTTTCCACAATTAGACTTATTATTTCCTTTCTTTCTAATGTTTCTAAGGTGTCCTTTGTTTTCTTTTTCAGACCTTCATGAGTTTCTTACTTCAGTTTATGCTGAGTATGATATTATGATATGGTCTGCAACCAGGTATTGTCATTTTTCTCTTTTTGTTCTGTTTCTATGTAATGGAATGATGGAATGACTGCTACATTCACTTCCTGCAGCATGAAGTGGATTAACCTCAAGATGGGACAACTTGGGGTTCTGGATAATCCTAACTACAAAATCACCGCCCTTCTTGACCATATGGCAATGATCACTGTTCAGTCGCCATCTCGTGGGGTCTTTGATTGCAAGCCTCTTGGTTTGATCTGGGCTCAGTTCCCTGAGGTATGAATACACTATAAACTAACTTGCCATTCGTCTTCTTAAAGTGAAGTTAGTAGAATTATTTTAGCATATTTGTTAAGACTTTATATTTTATATAGGGCAACACCCAATAAACACTGGTTATGACTTACTCTTCCTGAAAAACTGAAAAGATGTTTAATGCTCATGAGTTAATTATAAATGAGAATGTGAGATAAACCTTGATGGCTTATAGAGCTTATTGATTCAAATTCGAGTTTAAATAAAATTGAAAAATGAAATTATTTGACATTTCAAATTGTTGTAATCTATATCTGGTTTCCATGTCTTGTTTTAGTTTTTTGCACCAAGCAGCCATGCCCATGATGCATTTGTATTTATGGTGGCTTCTTATTTTATTTCAGTTCTACAATGCTTCAAATACCATCATGTTTGATGACCTTCGAAGAAATTTTGTGATGAACCCACAGAATGGTTTGACAATTAAACCATTCAGGAAGGCTCATGCTAACCGGGATAGTGACCAGGAGCTTGTGAAACTCACCCAGTATTTGCTAGCCATTGCAGAACTCGACGATTTGAGCAACCTTGATCATCATAATTGGGAGTTGTTTACTGACGACAATGCTAAAAGGCGTAGGCATAGATAAATGATAATTGAATGCAATAACGGGAATCTGGTAAGCAAAACCCAGCTTCTAGACTTCTAAAATTATGCAGTTGTATAAGAGAAATGTTCGGCCAGAAGATTTCAGATTTTTGTATGAAGTATTTATGTTAGGACAGGGATGACAAAAAGTAAAGGATTTCTTGTAGCAGCTGCATGGAGTTATCTAAGATGGCTAAAATTGCTTATGCAATTTTTATCCACCAATTCCTGAACTGAATTTGATTTAATGCATGAGAAAATTCCATCCTTCATAATTTTTCTAGAAATGGGTATAAAGCATGGATAAATTGCAAAATTGGAATGATTAATTGTGTGACACCTGTAACTAGTATCTGAAGTAATCAATTGATTCTAATTGTCGACAATGTATTTCATGTACGTTCAATCTCCTCCAGTGTCTATGGCCTATCATATTATTTTATTTTATGTTTCACGATTTATTTTATTGTTAAATTTGTTAGTAATCCTCTCGAGTCGGGAAATTGTCTCAACCGTTTGGATGAAATGTGAAAATTGGAGAAAAATGAAAGAAAATGGTGTGCGTTAGAGAATATAGTAGAGGTTTAATATGGTTCATCTTAAGTGATGAAAGAAAAAAGTCCTTGGTTCTGTTAGTTTCTGGCAAGATTAATATTGAATTAGTTGATAAATATGAAGTAAAACAAACAATTGCTACGTGATTTTTTATATAATTTTTATTTTGCAAATGTAAAACATCTCTAGGCAATTATAGTTTTAAGTTTCAGTTATTCATAAACACTTAACTGAATTTATTTAAATAAAAATAAATTCATAAAAGTTAAAATAAGTAGTATAATAATTAAAATAAATGGGATAGTATTAAAAAAATATTAATAAGGGGTGCTCTACAACCTTTTGGAGAAAAATGGATATTGTGAATGCGAGAAAGAAGATTTTTCTCAAAATTAACTGCGAATATGCTTACGACGCCTGCCGGTTTCGGACTAAAATTCTTAAAATTGTCTGAAATCGATTAAGAAGAATCAAGGGCTATTTCTGATCGAGAAGAACTTAGGTTTTGGCGGGTTCAATCCGTGCGGGTTATGGGTTCATCAGTTTGAGAAGCTTCTTCTAGCGTTTTGTACCGCCTTTCATCGTCACCCTTTTCCGGTCTCCGTCACTGCTTTGTTGGGGGAAATCGCTGAGTTTCAGATTTTCGCATCGCTACCCCCGTCAACCAGAGCAAGGAATAGGGGGCTTCTCAGCGACGATGGCTGGAGGGGAAGGTTGAAGAGGGATGTTTACGGAGTGAAATAGAAGAAGAAGAAGAAGAAGAAGAAAGAAGAAGAAGAAGAAGTAACTGAAGATGGAACGATGAAGATGAAGAAGATAAACAGTCGGATTCAGGTTTATCGGATAAGAAAATTCCAATGCTGAATCCAACCGGTTTATCGGATAAGAAAATTCCAATGCTGAATCCAACCGGTTTATCGGATAAGAAAATTCCAATGCTGAATCCAACCGGTTTATCGGATAAGAAAATTCCAATGCTGAATCCAACCGTTCAAATTCGTTTGAACCCGAAAGTTGCATCCGAAAAAATCTGAAATACCTGAGAATTAATTTGCTTCATCCAATCTAATCGTCGGTCTGGTCGGTTTCAGATGACTAAAATCTTTTGCCGAGACATGGTATATGTATTAAAACGTCACACCACTAAAATGAAATAACGTGGTGCACGAAACTTTGTTATATATTAGAGGATAAATTTTGTGTTTATAATAATTTAAATAGTATATTTAGTAGAATATATATGTGGTCTTCACAAATTTATATTAAAAATGAAGAAAAATAATATGCAATAAAGTTTTCGAGTTGAAAGTAAAAATAGTCACACATTACAAGTTAAATTTAAACGTTCTTCCAAATAAATAATGTAAGAAAACATTAAGTTTGCAAGTTAAACTCATTCACTAAATATCTTTAGTTGTCAAGCAAAAATACAAGCTAATAAAATAAGTTATAATAAGTTGATTAAAATGAATAGAAAATATGGTTGATATGTGGAAACATATTTCAAAAATGCACTTTTAACTACTGTTTTTTAAAGTAGTGGTTTTGATTCTATTCAGAATTATAAAGATGTCATACTTGGATACAAGTTAGGTAATTAAAATGGAATAAATAATAATATTACAGGTCAGTTTTGATTAAAAAATACTTCCAAAAATTTAAAGAAAAGTTTGATCACATTATCATATGGCACGGGAGAAGTATGATAATAGAAATGAAAATATTAAAATAAATTTAAGATTACATAGGAAAGGACAAGATAAAGAAGAGAATGCAATAGAAAGTTTGTTAATCTGATTTAAACGTGCGAAAAAGACTATTTGAGACACTAATAAGGAAAATATATCGCTTAATTTTTATTCCTACAAAAAGTAGATGAAAATTGAGATATTTGAGAATATTACTTTTAAAAATCTCAAAATAGTATCTTTGATAATTTGATTTTTGACCCATTTTAATGGTGTTGTGGTCCATTTAATTTAACTATTCTTATTTAGTAAGACAAATTTTTTTTTTATTGGTTGTTAGTCAATATATTTTTGTGTTTTTTTATTTTAAATAAGTCAAATTGGTGAAAGTCATACTTAGTGAAAAGAAGAAAATGTGCATTTCTTTTTTCATTTGATTGTATAGAAAAAGTTTTTTTCTTCAAGTAAATTATGATATATGCTCTTGTACATGTAATTTGGTGCAAGTATAAACAACATTAGAAATTTCGAAGAAAAAAAATTGACGGCAGAAATTTGAAATTTAAAAATCAGGATAACATTAATCAATGAGAAATGAATCGTGCAATCTACAATGAAATGCTAACTCATCACCAACAACCAACTCACTATTTTAGTATTGATTTTAAGATTTATTAACTTGTGATTTTGGAGGACACACCACGGTTTTAGTTTTGAGTACGCCTAATCCAACTTTCAAAACGGTTGACCCCCCATTTTTATATCCTTACCTTCATACACAAAAATAATGTATAAAAATGCACATATCTTCTGTGCTTGAACACGAGTATTGTTAACCATGTATAAATATAGTTAATTTTAAGCTTACTAAAAAAATATAAAAAAATATATAATTAATTTTATATAACAAATGATTAATATTAGACATTTCAATATACTTGTTACCCTATTAATTACTTGTAAAACACATTTAACCACTGTTAGATGTTTTAAAAACCATATGACATTGTTAACCGCATTCATAATTATTAAATTCTCATTCATTTATTTATATCAACTATAAATTCTCATTCATTTATTTATATCCATTTGCGAGGGAAATCAACCATATTTACTCATGCAATTAACTTAATACTCAATAACCTCACAATGTTACTCCCTCTGGACTCATATAAACAAAAATAGTACCTAATATTTTTAGACTTAAATATAAATAAATTCTAATTAACTTAATACTATTGCTATAGTTTCAAAAATAATCATTAAATTTAATGTGATTAACCTCTCCAATAAATATTATTAAGGGTAATTTAGGAAGTTAAATTTAATTTTTATATGAAATCAATAAAATTAAATTAACTTAACTAATTTTCTTAATATGTGGGAATTTAGGTCATTTTGCTTATATGAGTCCCAAGAGGAGTACTCCCTTTGTTATCTATTATAAACAAAAAAGAAATGATTTCAAACATAAAAAAATTAATTATCTACATTAAATTTTGTTAATTTCATAATTTTTTTTTGAAAATTCTCTTTGTTATAAATACCTAAAAAAGGTAATGCAATTAAAAAAAAATCATTAAATGAGATAAATAATTATTAACTTTGTTTATATTTAAAAACAAAAAAAATCTTATAATAGGGATCATAAGGAGTATTAATCACTTATAAGACAAAATTAGTCATTATTTAAAAATTTAATAACCTTATTATACCATTTATTAACCATATATCAATAAGTATATATAATTATGATTATTTATGTTTATCCACTTGTGAAACATATATACAATAATGACAATTAATAATCTCAAAATATGATTAATCACTTGTGAAACAAAAATTAGTCACTTTTAGATATCACTATTTGTCATTTATTGATAAGTTATATATAATTATATTAATTTACTGTTTACCACTTAAAAAGAAAATTATTCATATTTATATATATAGTTAACCAATTTTTCAGATGGATATCAAGTGGAGGAATATCATATGTACGATGATCTTTTTCCTTGATACAAGGACATGGCTCATTGAATGAAAAGTTAAGTTGCTTTGACTAATAGGACCCCACAAAAATTAAAAGCGATAAATAACATTTAACTTGGCCTACAAGTGAAAGCGAAATTTGTAGAAATCAGTGACTTAAATAATGTCCAAGATCAACTTTCTCACTGCCACCAAACAATGTGTTGAGAAAACATGAACTTCATTAAAATCACATTACAAACATTAGCTTAACATTATCCATACAAATAAGGCACATTCAAATGGCCCTGAGATATTTTCTATTTGCACTGGGCCAAATTCCACAATAGTGGAGATTCACAAGGGTATACAGCTACATATTCACTGAAAATACAGTGGGGGGGGGGGGGGAAAGCCTGAAAATGTTGGAGTTACCACCTCTGGTAGGTCAACTGAAATGGAATAAGATTTCGGCAATGACCACCAGGTGCACATTAAATGGTAATAATATAAGTAAATAGAAAACGGGAAGAGACTAAGAGAAGGCTGAAATCAGCAAAGCTGGCAGAGAGAGGGCATATATGTTGGAAATCTCTGCACAATCCCATGCATGGGAAGGGAAGGAAACAATTCTACTATGATGGGTGTGGCTACACCAGTTGAATGAAGGCTACAGCTACTGCAAATCTAAATTCTGAGAGCAGGGTCTTGCCCTGAATCGGTGTCCTTGTGTTTTAGAGAAAGGATTGCAAACTGAGATTCGAGGTCTCTGCTGTTTGAGCGTCTATGACTACCAGATGGTTGCTGTTGCGGGTGTTGCTGCTGCTGTTGTTGCTGCTGATACAATGAACGTAATCTTCCAATCTCTCTTTCCAGTACTTCCTGCTCCACTGAATTTCACATTTCATAGTTTTTAGTGTACAAAACATGTTCCTGTGACATCTAAAAATGCTTGAAGAAGAACTAGTGGGTCCTAAAGTGAACTCAAGGGATCATGATTTTTTGATGGCATGGCTCTGGTCACAAGACACAGTTGCTTAGGTAGCCAACTGAGCTAGAAATCAAATATTAATTCTTAACTTCCATCACTATTCTATATTGCTAGATTCTTTCAATATAAAAAGCTACAACAGATTGTATATTTGTGTAGGTCCCTAATTCTAATTTTATTAAATAGATACAATAGGAGTAGGAAAAGATCTTCAGTTCCACAATTATTCTCCATACAAACAAAGACATAATGCAGCATTACAGCAATTCTATAAGAAAATGCCGAATATGCAAAGAATAAGAAAACCAAAAAAACATCAAATTGGCACAAAATCAAGTATGCATAGTTTTCAACAAGAATAGAATGCCCAGGCAAGGAGCCATACCATGTAAAAGTTTAGTAATGACAACAAATAATTAAAAAAAAAAAAAAAGCCCCGGGAAAGGAGCCATACCATGTAAAAGTTTAGTAATGACAACAAATAATTAAAAAAAAAAAAAAAGCCCCGGGAAAGGAGCCATACCATGTAAAAGTTTAGTAATGACAACAAATAATTAAAAAAAAAAAAACTATTTAAAATTTCAGAGCCTTGAGGCAGATGAATTTGTTGTTATCAAGACTACATTACCTTTTTTTTTATAAAAAAAAATTCTTTTTTCGAAAATAAAATTTACACAAACTTATTTTTAGTTTTCAATCTAGATTCTAAAGTGGGTTTAAACATATGGTAAACCAGCAAAACCAGTAGGAGAAAACCTTATTGTCAAATCTGAGGCAGCGTAGTTAGTTTTTAAAATATCAATCATACAATGCCACATAATTAGAAGAGATTAACTATTTCCAGGAAAGTATTTTGGTGTAGCACAAAAAAACTAAATATGTCGTTTACTCGTTACTAAGTTATGATAAGATTAACCAATCAATCATTCTTTAAATACTGTTAACTGCCAACTAATTGTTCCTAAACTAGAAAGATGTTACTCAATCTCTCAATTAACTCACTTTTTTATATTTTATCTTCTTTCATTACACAACAATATTATTTTCAAATTTAAATTATTGTTATTATGTATATGATATGATATTATTTTCAAATTTAAATTAAATCATATTTTATTTTAAATTAAATTGTATTAATTATTCCTTCTATGACTATACTATTATCTTCAAATTCAAATAAAATCTAGTTTACTTTAACTTCTAATAAATCCAATGGAGTAAAAAAAAAACTCCTAATAAATCCTATTGTCTTTAAAATGTTATTCTTATAATTATATTATTTAAATTTTAAATCCAATTAAGTATTATTTTTATATTAATTTGATTTATTGAAAGAATATAATAAAGTGATTTTAATTTATATAATTAAATAAGGACTTCCTTGTATACATAAAATGAGATGCACAAAGCCCAAAGCTATATCCAATGACACGGAAACTACTTTATAATCCAGTTCATTTCTCTATTTTCAGCAAAGAAACTATATTTTCACCACAGGAATTTGAAGGTCGTTGAGCTACAGTTATGATTTTTGTACTTGAACACAACCCTTAAAAGATCAAACCTCCCTTTTTTTAATCCCATTACAGTAATTCTTCTAGCAATCATGCTCAGGCACACAGAAGATAGAACCTGATTAACTTTCTAATTCTATGCCACTTATATGATATAATTGAACTTAAATAAACCTAACATGTTTCTTTTCTATTAATCTACACAATACAGTGCATCATAGATTCACAAGGATTTCACCAGCTGAGCTATCTAAGCAAATATATGCAACTTTCTTGAAATATGCAGTACCCAAATTGACATTTCCAAGTAAAAACTAAAAAACTTTAGTGATTTGAAAATGGCTAATTCTCATATCATAGAAACTTACAATATTTGATAAGCTGCTCTTGTGCTATACTTTCTAAACGTTGCTTGAGTGCTTTATTTTCCATATTCAGGATAAGATTCTGCTGGTTAAGAAACTCAAGCTCAGCTGAGACTTCCGAACCTTCTGCCTATGTGGTCATATAAAGAAACCAAATCAGAACTTTCAACTTTCCTCAACTAATATACATGCATTTTCAAAAAAAAAAAAAAAAAAAAAAGACACTCTACAAACATGCAAAACATTGCCTTGTGCTGAAACTTACTTGTAAAGCTTGTACATTTCTTTCCAGCTCAGCTATGTATTGAAGTTTCCGGACTCGCGAACGTTGAGCAAATTGCCTGCATTACAAGTTTCAGAATTTTATCCCTTTCCATATATGAATTGATTGGTTTAAAAAAAAAAATTGCATATGAAATAGAAAAATTAACCAAAAAGAAAAAAAATGTCACATTCATCATCAGTGAGAAACATGGTTTAACTGCATTCTCTAAATTAGAATTAGCATAACAGCTTTAGTAACACAGATAATACTTTGTGCCACCAATATTTGTTATATTTTTTCCCCTCTACATATATTATTTTGACATCATATGCTACACATGTAGATATTAAAATCATATCCAGTCTATATGGTAAAGGTTTAAAAGGGTCAACAATAGGGTATGACACAACCCTATGGGTTTGCGACAAGAAACCATTCAGAACTTCAAGCCCCCAAGTTATATATCAGTGGCGTAAAATAAGCAATTACTGTAATAGCCATAAATTCAGAAACCAGAGAAATAGCTACATACTGTTTAGCACGTTTTGTATCAGTTTCAGAGGCAGATGGCTTTCCATGTGAGCTGTCCTTTTTTTCAGAAAATGATTTTGCATCTTGTAAACCAGATTCTACTGAATCATGCTTTTCAATTGCAGTTTGTGGAACCCCATCTGCTTCATGTGGTGTACATGGCAATCCTGAACCCTGAAAAGCAGCAGTGTCTTTTCCAGAGGGAACACCAACTGGATTTGTCATGACATTTGAAAAGGAGTCCCATGACCTATTTTTCAGTTTTGCTAAGTTCATTTCTGGATAAACAGGTATATGACGAGCATCTTTGCTGTGGTCAAAGTCTTGAGATGTCCAAGATGGAATAGACATCAAATTTTTGTATTTATACTCATCCTGATCGGCATAATTGATGTTAGATGCATTAACCGCATCTATGTATGCAAAAGAATCACTTGATGAACGCCTATGGCCACCTCTTCGGATAGGTGTCTCTGGCTCATTAAGGAGATCATCAAGCCATGAAGGCTGCTCCTCTATAACAAGGCTCTCAGATGAAGTACGTTGGTGGTGTGAGTTTCCCTCTCTAGGTCTGTTACCAGCCTTTAAACCAACAGCAGAATTTGGGACATAATCACTGTACGCTTGGGAAACACTAGGAAATGGGCTTTTAGGAGGAAGCAGAGCATGCTTTCCAGAATACATAAAATTTCTCACACCCGATGAACCCTTTGAATTTGCCATAGAAGCAGAATCAATAATACCTGTCAATTTATAAATTACCAAAGAATGGCCATGTAAATACAACATTAAAAGATCAAAACAACATTACAATAGAAAATTTTGGAAGGATCATCTAATGAGAATTTAAACATAATATCCATGATTCAACAATTATGATCTGACATGCATGTGTTCTCAATTATAAAGCATAAACCACAAATACATGTTAATCGGATGACATCCTTGAAAAATGTTCCAAAAATTGAAATCTGGTGAATATGCAAATGTACTCACACTCACAGAACCAAAAGTAAAACTGATATAGTACAACAAAGAAGTCGCATGAAACAAAGGCAGCTTTGGAAAAAATAAAGCATCGCAGTAATCTCAAGCCTAAGAACTAAATATCTTAGATCTCCTTGTCTCCATGATACAACATATTTCCTCGGATAAAAGTTCACAACAAGTTGGCAGCTTTGTAGATTTATCTTTATTTTATTTGCCCGAATTTAATTCTTAAATTTTTCCAGCCATCTCACCAGCAATATCAAAGTTTCCTTTACATATATATTATTCCAGATAATTGATCAACATTGTCAACCCTTCCATCCCACACAGAATGGGAGCATCACACCCCAGTTGTTCTATACCATTTCATCATAAGCAATGCACAAATCGTATGAATAGTACACCAAGCACAATACCACTCTCATCACACGTATTATTCACCAATTTCCAAGTTAAAATCACTTCCATATTGCTGAACAAATTACCATCTTAATTTTCTTCAATTAAAAAATCAAACCCAAACACATGTATCTAACAAGCCTGGAAAGGCAACAGTTCACTACCAATGTAACAGAAAACTCAATAACATCATCCTCAAAAATAAATTGTCAGAAACAAAACTCCATAAATAGTCAGCTACAGCTGGGGGAAAGAAAACCCAATCCACAGAGATAAACTTAATCATAACAAATTAAAATATAAGAAAAACAAAACGTAGCACCCAATTGTCAAAGTTTCTGTTTTATACTTTTATTCTCCAGGACCCAGATGAGGGAAAAACCAAAAATAGAAACTTCACTTTTATACCTTCCCCATAGAATCTGCCCCAAAACATACACACGCGCGCATTCAGAAAACAAGAGGAAGAAAAACCAACACGGAACGGAAATTATCATTTGAAAAACCAAACACGCCGCAATGTGCGACACTGAGGCATCAACAGCGCAATGATTTCAAGCTGATCGAACGAATTGGGCATGAAAACGAAGATAGATTCGTTTTGGGAAGCAAACAAAAAAAATTAATACAACACCAAAAGGAAGAGAAGAAAAAAAACCTTTGCAGATTGAAGATTCGAGATCCCGAAATGCAATGGTAAAGGAGCTTGAAATGAAAGCAAATATTTTCTCTCTCTCTCTCTCTCTCTCTTAGGGTTCGTTTCTTCAACAACCTCTCTTTCTTTCTCTTCTTCTCTCTTCTGTCTTGTTGTTGAAGCTGGGAATGGGGCTTAATTGTAAAACTATGATAAGTAAATACTGTTCCTAAAACTTTTGCTATTTAACATTTTCACCCCTATAACGTTTCCTTATTCCAAAATCTACCATGCCATCAACTTTAAAATAATACACTCCTTCTTATATCGCTGTCCAACTTGTCTACACACATGGAAAATCACCATATTTTTCTTTTTTTAAATAAATCCATAACATGCCAAGATTCCAGTAATTAGATTAAAGTGAAAATATAAATTTAAATATTCACTTTACCATAGTTGACCCAAAAATACAATGGGTCCCAAGAGATACTAAATAATGTTAAAATATTATGGTTAAAATTGTTGGTTTTAAACTCTTTCTAAATCTCATCTAAAAATGAATGACTAATCAGTTGAATGCATTGTTAGCATAAAAAAAGATATTACTATAAATAATTTTACACACTCAACTAATAAAAATTCATCATTAATATAATTTTTAAAATAATTATTATAAAACTTAACAAATTTATAAACTAGTTTGATCAAATTTTGAATAAATAAAGTCAAAATGAAGTTTTTTTTATTGGTTTGATTCAGTTCATATTTTAAAAAAATGAAATCCAAACAAAATCAATTTTATTAAAAATGCACTTGTTCAGTTGGAACTAATCAATTTTTAAAGTTATAAAATTATGATAATCTAACGTTTCAAATAAAAATAGTCTAATATAATTAAATAACGGGTACCAGGTAAAATAGTATAACGTACAACGTTAAATGTGTGATAAAATAAACTGTTATTTATATTAATGTGACACTAGATACAATAAGTGAGATCATCAATGATAAAATATTGAATAAGTTGTATTAATGTGTGATTAATTTATAATAAAATAAGATTATAAAATAATAAAGGTTAAAATTTTATTCACTTCTTGAATGATTTGATTAGTAAAATGCAAATTTATGGTCCAAATCAATTAAATTCAAATTTATTTGATTTGAATCTGATTTGATTTAATTCAATCAATTTAATTGATAAATTAATTTAGTTTAGAAATTTTACATTATCTAAATCAATTAACAATTAGACTATTAGGGTTAGCCTAGTGATTGAGTGGAGAAATGTTAGAGTAGTTAAAAGCATGAAGACCTAAGTTCAATCCTCGTTGCAACTATTTTTTTAATTTTTTTTATCTTTACTATTAAAAAAAAAAACAACTAACAATCCTTAAAATTTGTCGTGTGAAAACAAAACGGGGAGCTGAATTTTTTGATCATGCTTAATTTCAATGTTTTCATTTCCTTATAAGGGTTTATGTAAGCCAAAAAAAATAAATAAAGGCATATTGTGGTGGTGGAAACAGGTAGCAATGTAGCATGCCTTAAAAGTTTGGATGTAAGTGTCACGGCTCATAATTTTAATTTCTTAGTCTCATGTCATGCTACTTTTTGTCCATTAACTTAATTATAAATTTCATTTCATCGCATTAATTTGAGGTAAGACGTTAAATCCTATCTGAATGAAAATGTCCATTTGATTTTTTTTAATTGAGTTTTTTTCTCTCTAATAAATGGCAATGCCAGATTTAGTTTATTTTGTAAAAAAAGTTGGAACATTAATTTTGGGGGAAAAAACAACTATACATAATTGATTGTGTTTTTAACAATGAACTTATACGAAAAATTTATTTTTGTTTTGCCATAAATATAGTACTAGTTGGAGAAGAAATTGTGTTGTAAGAAAAAATTAAGGAAGCCTATTGGATTAAGAAAAAATCATATGATATTTAATTAAAATAATATGAGTTTTTTTTTAAGAATACACAGATATATGGTGATATTTAATTATAATAATTATAATTTTTTTAATAATTTATCAAAATCTGGTAATATTCGATTAAGTTTTTTTATACTTAAAAAAATTGTTGATATTTAAAAATATAAAATTTTTGGTAAATTATTTTAAATAATAAATTTTGTAAGACTTTTTTAGTAAAATTAACATATAATTCACTCATATAACAATTTCATAAAATAAAAAAAAGATTTTACATAAAAAAAATTTCTTTTATTTCTCCTTTTTTCTTCTTTTTGCTCTCTCTTAAATCATAATTCTTGTATTTCTTACTTCTTTCTCTTTCTCACCCCTCCCAGATTTCTTCTCTTATATCTCTCTCTCTTTTGCTTTGTTTTCTCTCTCTCTCCCTCCCTCTTTTTCTTCTTTTCACTATATCATCTCTCATTTTTTTCCTCTTTTTATGCCCTTCCCTTTCTTTCTCTTTTATACTCTTCTTCTTTGTTTTTCTTCTTTTTTATTTTTTTTATCTGTCCAAAATTGATATATAATTTATCAATATTTATTTTTTAATTATTAAATATTTAAAATGCTTTTAAAAATTAATTAATATTATTTGTTGTTTAAATTTTTAGATTATTAGAATTTGACAATTTATTTTTAATAAAATTTAATATTAAAATATCAAATTTTTAATCATATATGAAAAATATTTTTATATATTAAGTATTTGAAATTTAAGAAATTTAAATTAAATTATCCAATCAATCAAGATATCAAGCATCTCAACTTTTAATTTTCCTCATTTTATAACGATCTATCATAGTCTCTACACTTAAAAAATCAACTATGAGTAGCAAAAAATACAAGTTCTTACCTAGGTTAATATACAAACCGTTCATGTATATACAAATGATAATATATACATGCATGTGCAAATATTTGCATCAACAATTGAAATAATAAACAAGTATATATGTGTACACAATAATCCAAAAGTTATAATGTATAAACTTAGGCTGTCGATCAAACAACTTTACAGAAGTAGCATCAAACTACACTACCATCCAACATGACTCTCACTCTCCAAATGCCTCCAACTTATCTTTGTCCTACTCTCATGTAAACACGATTATTATAGTCCAATTAAGAAAAAACATGTAATAGTAAGCTAGTTTTCAAAAGAATAAACAAAAAACAAGTATAAGAGGATAAAGACAAATATACTAACCACATTAACACGTAAACCACACCACAAAATCCCATCATGGCTAACAATCTAGCAACATAGCATCAACGACTCGTCATGGCATCAAACAACTTTGAAAGATAAGCAACTTAATTATTTTAACTTACACCACAAGTCATGACCATGTCATTCAACAAACAACTTCACATAGTGTATGAACAACACAATAAACAACACATCACATGCATAACACCTTAATTATATGTGTCACACATTCTCTTATGAAAATCTCTAACAACAAAGGTGAGCAAATTAAGTAACTTGACCCTATTAAACCTACATGATTTTTTTACACCTATTAAATCAACAACCAATTTGGATACCAATCCATAATAACATGATTTCTTGAATTTTACCACTTAAATTAGAAAGTCTAGTATTTTAGTCAAGGGTAGAATAATTTGGATATAAGTCAACCATGATATTAGTTTGTATAATTAAGCTTCTAGTACTCAGTTAAAGACTAAGTTCCAACCTTGTACTTTATTCGGTTAGTCACTTTATATACATATGACTCAACTTTATCTACATATGGACCAATCTACTTATGGACCAACATTAGTCACTTGTGATCAATATAACTCGACCTCACTTCTATATTGTAGTCACTTATAGTCAGTATGCATTGACCTGACCCACATACCACATCGACTAAGGTCATAAAAGAAATTCAATTATCCACTTTAAGAGTCAATTACTTAAGAATAATTTTCAATAACTAGGCTCGTAAAGCATCACATCAATATTTGCATGATGAGATATCCAACTTTCAAAAACGCTCTTCGAGAACTCGTAAATTCTTTGAAACATTATGATATAAATCCATTAAAATCATATTACAAAATCTTAATTATAAACATCTTTTAAAATAAAATCCTAAAAATCATTAATTTCTACAAAAAATTTTAAAATAAAATTTAAAAGTCATTACATTATTTCGAAGTCTTTTAAAATCTATAAGATTTTTTTTTACAAAATTTTTCCTATAAAATCATATACCCCTAAGTTTTTTCTTCTCCAATTTTAATTTTAAGTTTAGTCATTATATTGTTTTATTTTATCACAGAATTGTTTTAAACTCATTTTAGTTCATCCTTATTAGTAATTAAAAGAATGGTATCCTTAAATAAAAATATACATTTTTGTACAAAAATATAAAGTAATCATTTTTTTTAATTATATAACATTTTAAAAGGATTTTAATATAAATCATTTCATTCTGAACTCTGTTTCAATTAAAATAAATTTTAGTTAAATTATAAATGTTTTAATTAAACAAATATAAAATAATAAATTTGTAAATAATTACCAATATATGTAAATAAATCATTTCATTTAAGTTTTATCAGTTTATCAAACAAATATAAAATAATAAATCATATTAAATTTAATTAAAATATGAGTAATGAATTTGTAAATAGTTACCAATATATGTAAACTTGATTAATGAAATTCTTAATTATTATGTAAATATAATATAGATTTCAATATTTTTTAATTATATCATTAGTACGATACTTTATTTTAAAAAATAAAGTATAACTTTTATTCTTATATACAATATTTAATTATTAATTTTATTTTTATAACAACTCAACAATTGTCATATGTAGTAAAGAAGAAGAAGAAAAGCAGAAATAAATGTTATTAATGAAAAATGTTTGTTTTATTATCGAATCTTAGTAGTTAGTAGTACCTGTTTTGGTTAAGAGGCCAGCGTGATTTAAGATCAAGTTGTACGGTACTTTTGTACAATAAATGCGCTGTTGATTTTAGATTTAGTATTACGGTAGACAAATTAATTCTGTGGTAGGTTTAATTGATTTTCATAAAAAAAAAAATCATTTTGTTGGATAAAATTAATTAAATTACAAATTTATAAGTTATTTATACTATAAAAATAATTATACTTTATTAAATAAAATTATTTTTTTCTCAATATAATATCACATTCAATCAGTTATATAGAATATATATATATATATTACATTGTCAATATATAAATTATTTATTGATATAATATTCATTTGAAATTATATAATTTAAGAAAAACATAATTTATGCACTCACACTATTATTTTTACACTATTATCTAAGAATAAATTATTTTATATAGTAAGTTTGTTAATTTTTACAATAAGTATTTCATACCAAATATCATGATTGTTTTTGTCCATAAAAATCAAAATTACTATTTAGAATTTACAATAATTATTGAATAATTAGAAGTTTACTAAAAGCAAAAAAATATAAATAAAATTTAGTGAGAGAGATAGTGGGAGAGAGTAGTTTAGAAGTTGTCTTAAAGATAAAATTGTCTAATAAATTGTGTACACTAAATCAAAGTATCGTCTTTATAAAATTATAGATATTAAAAATAATATTATAATAGATTTAACATTATTTTATTTGTGATGTTCATTATTCAATAAATAATTTAAAGACACAAAAAGTTATCTAGACCTAAATATTTGTTTCGTGTTATTCTCTTTGTTTTGTATCTCAATATTTATTAAACACACATAACATTTTATACATAGGACAAAACTTAAGTATTATTTTTTAGATGTCATTTATGTTATTCTCTAATCAAAGTTAGAATTTTATCTCAATATTATGCAAGTGCATTTAATATAAGTCTCATTAATATACATTTAAGAGTTAATCATTTATACACTCAGTGTAAAGTTTTTTACACCGACATTCTATCATATCTTTTAAATTATTTTTTTATTTTTATTTCATTAAATGAGCAACTGACATGACATTATTAAAAGATATGATTGGTTGCCAGTGTAAATTTTTTTTATACTAACAGTGTATAAGTGATTAATTCTACATTTACGTATATTATTAAAGTAAAACTCAAATTCTAATAAAAAAATAATATCAACCACATTTAAGAAATTTATCTAAATTTTATCTTTATCGGTCAATCAAATGAGTTGGACTCTCTTGCTAATCATGATATTAATGGACTTTGTATATAACATTTTTTAAAAAAATTATACGGAAGTTAAACTCATTTTAATATACCAATAAATAATTATCAAATTATTTTTTTATATGATTTGCCAGATTTTGTACAGTTGCCTACAGAATGTGCGACAATTTTCACATGAAGATTTATATCTCTTAAACTGAATACAGAAAGTACAGGTAATACGAGACGGAGTAGATTGAAGAAAACAATAAATAATCATTAATATTTGTGTCCTTTATTTGATGTGATTTTTGTTTGCTTTGCTCATATACATTGCAAATTGCAATATGTTGTTTAGTGGAGAAATGAATCATTAGAGTAACTTTACTATGAATTGAATTGAGGTGTTTTTGAAAACAATCGTATTTTACACTAATAAAAAGGAATTAACGTTGGATTCATATTTATGTTTGCAGATTGACTGAATTCTCATATAACTTAACCCAGTGAAATTATAGTCATAATTTTTTGTTTATTTGTGATAAAGATCAAACAATAATCATTTAAAATTGCAAAACCATTTAGTATATGATCCTTCTCCATTAGCCTTTTTTTATTCTTACTTTCAAAACTTTTATTCACAAACTTTTTTTAAGAAAATTGAAGTATTTGTTGTATATATTTAAAAATCACAGGGAAAAAACAAAAACTTAGTAGAATAGAATGCGTTGGTTAATTATTTGGTGGTGAAAATGTGGAATTGAGTGAGGTGTAAAGTGAGGAGAGAGATTAAGGGTTGTCTCTAGACAGCCAAATCCACGTATGAAGTTGGGACAAGTAGTTAGCAGTTCCCAACTTCCCATCAGCCAAACACATGAGGTGGTTTGGAATGCAGTCAAGGACTCTTGGTGTTGGGATAAAGGTTAATCATGGACCATAGTGTGGGCATCCATGTGTAGCTTTACATTTTTATTTGACTAATGAATTGAAAAGGGATTGAAGTTAATTATAAGATAAGATTAATTTGTGTATGAATTGTGTGACAATTTCGTATGAAAACATTCAGTATGCTACAATTTTCATTAGGTATTAAAACCTTTATTTGCCACTAGATTTAGGTCTCACCTAAGTTTGTCTTTAAAAGTCAAACTAAGAAAGAAAGAAAAAAAATAGATTGCATATCTTGTGGTAGCAGCTGAAACCGTAGATTGATTCCTCTTTAAAGCTTCATCACTTGCCCTAAGGTGTAAGGGAGATTATATCTCTTTTTCTAAATATTAACATGAATATGAGGAACTACGATATTTTATATAGATTGGTTGTTTGTTGGATTTGTAATACTTGCCATGATTGGAATCTTGTTGAGAGGTTGTTTTCATTGCACTAAGCTCTTGTTATCTTGACATATTTTCTTTATTTTAACTATAAAAATTAGATATGGTGGTTTCGAAATTTATTTTCTATTGTGTGCTTATAGAACTTTTGTTTGGTCATCTTATTGATACCTATGCTACACAAAATTTGTGATGAGCTACCTGGTTATGCTTATGCATATAAATATGTTTTAGCATGATTTTAGTTGTTATTTGTTGCACCTGAAAGTTGAGAGGGAGATTGTGTTCTTGAGTTTAAGTAGAGCCATCTAGTACCTAAAATCTATAAATAATTACCCATGAAATTGTTGATAAATATTTATGTAAAAGTCCGGGGTTTTAGGAGTGTAAAAACGTACGATATTGTCTGTTTTAGCTACTGCAAAAACCGAAAATTTAGTTCCAGATAAAGGGCTAAAGATTTTATAATAGGAAACAACGTTAGATGTTAGAATAGCAAGTTTAATAAGCTAAAAGTCCTAATAACTTTTTTTTACAGCATTTTAAACACTCATACAGTGATTAGTAATTATTCAACAAAAACTTTTCAACAATTTATACAAGAATTCTTCAATAAATTAATAATTTATATATCATTGAAAATTATATTTAAAACGAAATATAACACAATGCAAATATGCAATATAAACTTCCAATTCTTTAAAATATTTAAATATTAATATAGATTATAGATACTACTGTAATGTCTTGTATTGGTACAAAAAATCTAAGAATAAATAAATAATGCTGAGTAATACAGGTATTGGGACATATACAGATACAACGACTCTACAAACATTTTCTTGTGAGAATTGAGAAGGTCCCAATTTTTTGATACTTGTCCATTTGTCTCCTTACAAAGTGAATCCTCTTGTACGGAGTTGTTGGCTATTCATTTTCCTCATGCAATTGTCATGCACAAATAAAGTTATCAAGCCAAACATATCACACATGGACTAAAAAAAAGGCAACAACACATGCACGCCCACTACACCATAAAGTTGGCAAATGAAAAATGGTGTGAATAGTATCAGCTATAAAGCACATGATGCTAAAAGCAGTGTTGGAACATCCTATACATCAACTATAAAGTATATTGCAAGAAATTGAGATACACCCTTCATAGTTCATAAGCCACTTCTCCAGTGACCAGTTTCTGTCTGTTCTTCAGATCATTCGCAGCAGAGATTGAAAGTTGCAATTGTCACAACACCGTATGATGAAGTATACTTATGATCCCAGCAACTTTTTCCATCTTGCATACGCTAAAATAAGCAAGAAAAGCAATACACAAATCCCGGACGTGACCCAAACTATGGGCCAAAATATTCCATTTATATAATATAATTTACAAGGAATGTTCATACCAAATGCACTAGCAATCAAAGTTTCAATAGCAATAGCAAATGATGCAATAGTCAACGTCAACTGCAGCTGAATAAGTTCATTTCGGTGGTTATCAAGTTGGATGTTGACATAGTCTTCAGTGTCGTCAATATACTCCCTAACCTGCATATCAGTAGCCATAAAGAAGTAAGAGTGTAGACCCGGTACCACTTCTCAAGAACAATAAATAGTAACAGCATTCAAGATACCAGTCAATTATCAATATAATTGGCATTCCAGAAACAATAACAAATTCAGCTGACATTTCAAGACCGTGAATGTTGCTCCCAAAAGCTCAACAACTTGGTCCATGAAACAAAGACTAAGTCGCCCTGCCCAAAACATTAACAGTATTCTTGCTATCATTTTATTTTAAGCAAGAAAAGGAAACCAGCAATATGTCACCACCACTTATTTTCAAATCAGCTAGACAGAAATTAATAAATTTCCTAAAATTGCAACAAACTTGGACAAAATTACGAGTTCCCAGTATAGGAGCTTGTGAATCCTCAAGGACAAGCTCCCAGTAGTGTCACATTGAAACTAGCAATAATCGATTCCCTCCATCCTCAAAACAACAGAAAAGTATCACAAATCACAACTAAGTTTGTGAGGGCGATTCTTGTCCGCAAATGAAATATATGAATTTTATCGACTAAAGTACAAGATCATGGTATAAATTAGATAGATAATAGAATTAGAGTGAAAAATGATAGTTTCAATCTTCAAAATTTGATAGAAACATAAGTGGACCAGAATCTTGTCACAAGAACACTTACAGATAATATCTTGTTACGGGTTCCATCTAACTGCATGAAATATGCATCAAGCAACATCTCCAAGTCCTCCACATCATTATCTTCCCCATAATGGCTGGTCGCAAGACTTTCACTTCTGGTGGAACCAAGTCGACGAACAGAATGTGAGATACTAAGAAGGTTATTTGAGGTTGTGGCACCCATATGAGCCTCGAATTGTTGATTCTGCAACCACTTCCTTGTCAAATATAGTTGTGCCATATCTTCATTGTCATCTAATAGATGTTCAATTTCATCTCGCACCTGTAAAAGGGGGTCATACAATTCCTAAGTATAATATCTCAAAGATGATGGAATGCATCATCACAAACTAGGAAAAATAGCTTTTCATGCTTTATTCAAGGACTGCATAATTGGATCCAGTCCAATTACATATTACTTCTTTCAACAATCTCAATGCACAATAACTATAAAAGAATTCTGTTGGCACTTTTATTAATTTACACCTGTCATGGGACTATTAAATAAAATGAAATCACACTTGTGCAAAATTTTAAACCCATTGGCAGATTAGATTTAGTACATCTCTTTTTCCCAAAGGTTAATCCTGCAATTCCCAACTTCCACAGTCATCTATACGCAAGGAAATGACTATTAACATTGACTTAGTCATAGCAACAACCAGAGGAAGACCCACAAGGTACTCATGCAACATACCTTTTGCACCCGTGCGAGCAACCGCGTGAGATTGCTCTTCAAACTCCTCACATGTTCAAGATTCTTGGTGCTAACGTTCCTAGCCAATTCATCCAACACGGGGTAAGCTCCTCTCTCAAGGTCTGCCACACTCGAGTCTAGATAAGTACACACAGCCTCCAAGGCGATCTCGAGAACTTGAAACTCAAATGGAAGCTCAGACTGCAAGCCTTCGGCCAGCTCCGGCACAGGCAACCACTGCCTGCCATTGGAAGCCTGCATTTCACCTTCACGCTCCTCGGATGCCCCAGCAAGTTTAGGTTGACTTTTAACAGGAAGCTGCTGCCTGAGCTGCTCAACAAAGGGAAGAACCTCCTGCCTGAGAGGATCAAGCAATAGTACTTCTTCAGCAGTCACTATGGCCTTTATAAACTCCAAATTAACCACCATTGCTTTCTCCCTAGCTGCAAAAAAAGAAGAAAATAAACCATTAAATTCCATTCTTCATCATAATAGAATAGCATCATAAAATTCAGCATTTTCGATTCTAGCCTAGATAGTCACAGTACCACGAGCGAAATTACTGCCGGGCCCCAATGGACCCGTAGCATAAGCATCCAATCCAAAACAAACGCAACACATGAACCAACATGATGGGGCAATCAGAGAAACCCTAATTTCGAACATACGATGAAATCGAAAATTGAGATTAAAAATACGATTTTGATTACCGAGGATGTTGGAGGAGTGGGAGAAGACGGGACCCAGAATTCTCAAGTCTCTAGCGGGAATCGCGGCGTGGCGGATGATGGCGTTTTTCTCCCACTCGACGAGTTCCGACCGGCCGGACCGGTCAAACCGCATCCACAACCGGGCCCCACCGGTTTTTTTCTTGGGCTTGGTTAAAGCGGTGGCGCCCGCGGCTGCGACGAGGCGGTTGTTAGGGTTGTCGTCGGGCGAGGCGGCGATTCCGGCGGCGTAGGCGGGTTGCGGCGGAGACGGGGGCGGGGGCGGGGCGGCGGCCTTCTTGGGGCGGCGGCGAGAGGCGGAGCGGCGGAAGGAGAAGGGGCCCTTACCCATGATTATTAATTAATAATAATAATAATAATTGGTGGAGAGAATTATTGTTATTATTAAATTGAAATTGAAAAATAGGAGAGTGAGGATTGTTGTTGTCCTTCAGCTTCTCCGCTTTGATCCTCCATACACGACACCCTCTCTCCCTCCGATCAGAATACGAAAATGATATATCCTGCCAACACTTTTTCATCCGTATTCTCCTTATTAGATACAATTCATTAAAAAAAAAAAAAAAACACTTTATAAATTTTGTAGTTTTAAGTCCTATTTAACGGATTTCTTTTTAAATTTTTTAATCTTTATTAAATTTTAATTAATAAAATATCTCTTAAAAAATAAAATAAAAGATTATTCCTCTATTTTTTATTATAAAAAACTAATTTTACAATTAAAAAATGTTAAAATATCTCCTTAGTCCTATAATTTTATTTACTTTAATCTTTTAATCAATGTATTTTAAAATAGATTTTTTTAATCTTATATTTATTTATTTTAAATCTTTTTTAATTGATGATAATTTAAGATAACATTTTTTTAGTCTTTAGTAATTTTTAGATTTTTTTAGTTTTTGTTGTTATTTCTTTTTATTACGTTGTTTCTTGATAGATTTTTTTTTAATCTTTTTAAGTAAGTGTGCTTTATGTTAAATTAATTTTGTTAAAATTATTTTAAATTAGGTTATTTATCACTTCGTATTTTTGTCACATTTTATTTAATATGTTTAATGTTGAGTTTATTTTTATTAAAATTGCTCTAAATAAATCTTTCAAAATTTTGTGTTATTTCAAAAAGTTCATGGCTTTAATCCAAGTAAAATGATATGAGGTACATGGACACCTAATAAATTATCAAATAAATTGATAAGTTGGAGATTCTTCACGTACAAAGCAAAACTAGTAGATTTATATGATAACTTAATGTCATTTACTACACATTAATGAATGTTAACTAGAATGATTTGAAAAAATTTATAAATACAAAGAATAAAAATATTTTTTAAATTATAGTAATTAAAAAAACTAAAAAAGATAAATATAAAAATTAAAAATATTTATTTTAAACTACAGAGACCAAAATATAAAATAAGTAAAATAATATCAATTAAAAAAATATTTTAACTTTAAGAAATTAGTTGTAGGTATTAATTTTTACTAATTTGACAATATCTCTCTTATTTTGTCTTTGTTATAAATGCTAAAAGTGTAACGTAGCAAGTTGTTTTAGGCGCTCAAAAAGTCCAATATGTGTGATTTAGTAGTCCAGAACGGGCCGTTCCAAACTACTAAATTGACTTGTAAAACGTAGTTGAGAACGAGCCGTTCTGGAGGGAGAACGGGTCGTTCCAAACCCCAAAATGGGTCGTTCCGGAGGGGGTACGGGCCGTTCTGGATGGAGAATGAGCCGTTTTGGATGAGTCTCAGAACGGGCCGTTCTGATTTCAGAACAGGACGTTCTGCATGTAAATTTTGTACTTGGTGAAAGAGTGCATGACGGGCCGCAGGTCGTTCTGCCCACTCCGAAACTTCTATAAATAGGGGTTGGTGGTTGAGGAGAAAGGGAAGTTTTTAGAGAAAAGTTTTAGAGAGAAGGACTCTGGTTTAGCAAGCTTGCTTTGGGAGGATTGAAGTTCCGGGTTGAGCTTCGGAAGGAAATTCTACTTCTTCTCAGTTATTGGCTATTTTGAGCCAATCTTCAGGTGAGGAAAGCTAGAATGTAGGTTGTTTAATTTCAGGAGAGTTAGGGAAGCTTTATGCATGATGTTCTTTTGTTGAAATAGTTGAGTTGTCAGGTGCTTAAGTTGATTTATGCTATTTATATTGTGTAAGTTGACATGATAGATAAATTTTAAATATGTTGTATATTGTTGAAGTTGTTTATAAAGTTGTTAAGTTGCATTAAGTTGATATTGTAATGACTATAATTGTTTAATTAAGTTGTTTGCATGTTGTTAAAATTATTAAAGTTGTATAGTTGTATAATTGAATAAGAAGTATAATTACATTGAGATGTATGATGAGTAGAAAGTGAAATGAAGAGATGCATGTTGAGTATAGAGTTGAAAAGTTGCTATGTTGTTTAAAGTTGTTAAAAGTTGAGATTGATGACTATAGTTGTTTATTGATGTAAAGTTGTTAAGTTGCTTATTGTTGTAAAGTTGTTAAGTTGCTTATTGTTGTAAAATTGTTAAGATGCCTATTGTTGTAAGCTGTTAAGATGCCTATTGCTGTAAAGTTGTGTTGTTGAGTTGTAAGCTGATTAAGCTGTGATGATAAGTTGTTGATCACTAGGACTAGGGAAGATGTTTTCGAAGTTGTTCATCCCATTGTGTGGATTGAGATAGTTGTGGTGCTCTGAGAGCCCAATTTGTTGAAAAACCCTCCTTGGGAAGTTATCCCTTAGAGTGGTCGTTGTGTTGTTCTCCTCTAGAACTTAGTTGATCCCGTGTGTGGGCAAGGTCGAGGCACACGTGTAAAAAGCGACCACGGTATAGGGGCAAGGTCGAGCTATACCGATTATAAAGCGACCAAGGTATATGGGCAAGGTCGAGCTATACCGATTATAAAGCAACCACGGTATAGGGACAAGGTCGAGCTATACCGATTACAAAGCGACCACGGTATAGGGGTCAGGTCGACCTATATCGATTACAAGTGGCCAATTTGAGTAAAGTACGAAGTCGGGAACTTAGTTCCTAACCGAGTACTATACTTCCTTGTTTAAGTGGCAAAGTCTGAGAAACCATTATCGTGTTGTGGATTGATATCCAAATGTGTTGTGTTGTCGGTTTGGTAGGACCTAGTCACTTAGACTACTTACCATGTTGTAGGAGATCTCTGAGTCAAAATACGTGACGACGCATAAGTTGTTAATGAGTTGATTTGTTGTTGATATGAGTAGTACATACGTTGTTGTGTTGTTAATCTGTAATTGTGTTGTATGTTGACCTTATTGAGGATGATGATAGTGTTGTTATGTTATAAGTTACTTATTTGTTCACAAGTTGTGTTAATCTATGATATTGTTGAAGCTAGTCGAAATTAAGTTGATAAGGTTGCTATATGCCATGTGTTGAAAAGATATTATTTTATGATGATTGAGTTGTAAATTATGAGTTGAGCTAATAAGCTGTTAGTTGATTGTGTTGTTTAAAGTTGAAATGATGTTTAGATGTATAGTTTTTATGTTGCATATTAAATTATTATGAGTTGAGCTAATAAGCTGTTAGTTGATTGTGTTGTTTAAAGTTGAAATGATGTTTAGATGTATAGTTTTTATGTTGCATATTAAATTATTATGAGTTGTTTATTGTCTCTAGCTTACCCTTGCATGTTTCCATGTGGTTTGGATTGCGATGATCATACGTTGTATAGGAGCAGGGCAGGGATAGACTGGAAATAGCTGCTAGAGGCCACCAGAGGTGCTTGGAGATGGATATTTTTTTGTAGGCTACCTTGTAGTAGTATATTTTGTTGTGTATAACTGATTGATGTTGGTTGCTTGATTAGCAACTTGTGTTGTAAATATTTTATTATACTATTATATATATATATATATATATATATATATATATTTCAGTAGGGTGTAGTATTGTTCGAAGTGTGACAACCATGGCGGGTCGTTACAAAAAGAAATAATGAAAATGATGAAAAATATATTATTAAATGAGACATAAATAGTTAAAATTTTCTTATATTTTAAAAAAATATATTTTTTATACTTATAAATACAAAATGGAGGAAGTAATTTAGTATTAGATTTAAAATACATCGTAAAATTAGTCTTTAAAAAAAACATAAATATAAATATTAAAAATATATATTTTAAATTATAAAGACTAAAATATAAAATAAGTAAAATAATAGTGATTAAAAAAATATTTTAACTTAAAAAAAATAGTTATATATATATATATATATTAGATTTTACTAATTTGACAATATTTTTTATAAACTATTTTGTATAAATGACAAAAAGAAGTAATACAAATGATAGAAAAATTATTCTTAAATGAGACATAAATGATTAAAATTCGCTTATATTTAAAAAAAAAATACATATTTTTTATACTTATAATAGAAAATTGAAAAAAGCACCATAATATTAAATTTAAAATGCATTGTGATATTAAATTTTAAAAATAAAAAAATGTTCAAAAAATCTTTGAAAGTATAATTTAATAATTACTTTAATAAAATTATTAAAAGGAATATATGGGAAGTAATATATATATATATATATATATATATATATTAAAAAAAATTAAAATGTTCATTACAAAATCAATTTATTTATATTTTGTTCCTTGTTATTTTTTTTATTTCATCTTGAGTTAGTTTGTTTAAAAGTAAATTTGTAAAGAATAAAATAAAGTTATTCACATATTTTAAAAAATTAAAAATAAACATATTACAATGACTAAAAAAACAACAAGAACATAAATAAAAAAAGAGAAATTTGTCAATATTTATAAAAAAAAAATTTCATAAAAAGAAATTGACATATCACAAAACCAAAAACACATAAAAAAAATAATAAGATTTTAACCTTGTAAACAATGAAAAGTAATTTTTGAATTTAAGAAATGAAAGGTGATTAAAATTAAAACTAAAGTAAAAATGATACAAGTTACACCACCATTCTTTATTATTTATAGAAGTCCTTGTTTATGAGTTTTCATTAAGAATTTCCAAGGAAGCATCGAGGAAGAGGACGCACAATGTCTATAAATCGATTTGACAATGGTGGAGATGAATGTTCTTTTATTTTTCTATGTTTATAACTATTATTCATTATTTGTTCACTCTTTTTATTTTCTTTCATTTGTTGTTTTAATGTGTGAATATGCTTTTCAATTGTAAAATGGTATTGGATGTTTGCTATGGAAGATGAGGAAGGTTTTGTGGTAGAAAGTGGTGACGGAGGACGATGAGCGCATATCAAAGTTGATAAATCTTTATGAATACACCTATGGTTCTTGATAGACCTTGAATTAGGTATGTATATAAGGTACAAATCTATGGTTGTTAATGCTTCTCTTACAAATCTTTGTTTCAATTTATTTTCTTCTCGATACAAATGGCTAAATTTTTTACTATTTCTTGGATTCAAGATAATACTATATGCAAGGTACTTGTCTAATTGTGAGATTAGCATTTTTTTTACTAAATTGGGTTTTGACCCAT